TATCAGAGTCCGGCTCCGTTAATAAAAGGCCTAACATCATCCGGAGAATCTAGAGATGGCTTCAGGATCAGCGAGCAACGCTCCTCTTTATCTTGCCGATGGATTTTCACAGAATCGTCCACCACGATTCGAAGGGGTCAATTACGGGTACTGGAAGAATCGTATGGAGTTGTTCGTGGGATTGACTGATCCAAAACTTTGGGCAAGAGTTATCAAAGGACCTTACGAACTCAAAGAAGATCAAGAGAAGTGGTGTGATGAAGACTTTGAGAAATTCCAGCAGAACTGCAAAGCCACAAATATGATGTATTGTGCTCTTGGACCAGAAGAATACCACAAGGTGGCAGGTTGCAAGACTGCAAAAGAGATCTGGGACAAGCTTCAAGTAACATATGAAGGTACTTCATAGGTTAAAACCTCACGGATAAATTCCTTGAAGCATCAATTCGAGTTATTCAAAATGGAAGAAGGAGAATCAATCAGGATGATGTATGAGAGATTCACTAATATAGTGAATAGTCTTGAGAATCTGGGAAAGTCGTATGAAAGTGGAGACCTCGTGAGGAAGATTATGTGGAGCTTGCCAGACAAGTTGACACCGAAGATCACAGCCATTGAGGAAGCCAAAGATCTGGAAAAAATATATGTTGATGAGCTGATTGGATCCTTAGTTGCTCATGAAGATAAACTGAACAAGGTGAGTCAAGAAAAGGAAGTCAATGACAAAGGAAAAAGAGGTGTTGCTTTCAAAGCTAGCACTTCGTTGGATGACTCAGAAGATCTAGACGATATGGAAGACGAAGAATTGGCGTTGTTAAGTAAGCAAGTCAGCAGACTGCTTAAAATTCGAAGGGAAAAGAAGTATGGGAGATCTGGAAGCAAGGTCAAAGATCTTGAAAGAAATGAAAGCGGGGGAAAAGGAAATCAACTCAGGTCCTTCTCAAAAGGCAGAGTTGATGTCAGTCAGACCCCAAGAAGTGTGAGCTCAACAGGGTGTTTTAAATGCGGCCGAGCAGGACATATCAAGGCTGAGTTTCCACAACTCAAGAAGGAGAGAGCCCTGGCTGCTACTTGGAGCTGCAGTGAAGATGAAATGGATGATGATGACGGAGTTATTGTCCAAAGGTCGTTCATGGCAATTGCTGAGGTCGAGGAAGAGTCACTTGAGCAGAATAGCAATTCTAGACAAGTAAGTGATACTGAATCCATACATGAGTCAGAATACCTGAGTGACAATGAAATGCTAATTGATACTATCAGAGACATCCAAGTAGAATTTGGAAATGTCAAGATGAGATATAATAAAATGAAGAGAGAAAATCATGAGCATCTGACAAGAATAGCTGAACTAGAAAACGAATTAGAAAGTAGTAAAACAGAAGTCCGTGAACTCAGGAAGAAAATCAGTATTATGGAAACTGAGAATAGGTCAATGCAGAAAAGATTCTAACAGAATTACAATGAAAAGACCTGAAATATATACAATTAGACAGGATGCTCAATTAAAGGAAGTGGAATGCTATTACTGTCACAAAAAGGGACACATTATTAAAATGTGCAGGAAGAGGTTATTGTTAGAAGCTAGGAAAGAAGGGTCTGATTGGTCAAGAAAAATTAAGCAACCCAGGAACAATCAATTGTTTAGTCCAAATGCATCACACGAACCCAAGAAAATCTGGGTTCGAAAAACCAAATGAAGTTTGTGTTTGCAGAGTTGTCTTCAAGTGAGCACAGAGGATACCAGATGAATTATGGACAGCGGGTGCTCCCATCACATGACAGGTAATAAGAAACTGTTTTCTAGTCTCAGTCTACAAGATTGTGGTAAGGTTTATTTTGGAGACAACAACTATGCTCATATCATTGGCAAAGGTCAAGTAGGAACTGATCCATGCATTAAAAATGTTATGTTAGTTAAGGGTTTGAAACATAATCTTATGTCTATCAGTCAAATGTGTGGAAAGACCTGCAGGGTGGTGTTTGAACCTAGTTGTTGTTATGTAGAGAACATTATGAATAAACAAGTAGTGTTTACTGGAAAAAGAAATGGGAAAATCTACACTATTGATCTAAACGACAAGGATAGTTTCAATGAAACTTGTTTGATTATTCTAGACAAAAGTGATCAGGAAGAGTGGCATAGAAGGCTGGGTCATGTTAATGTGAGTGTTTTGTCTAAGTTAGTTCGTCTGAATTTAGTCAAAGGTATTCCGAAAATAAATGAGAAAAGGGATTTTTTCTGCGATGCTTGTGCCAAGGGTAAACAAACCAGGTCTAGCTTTAAATCTAAACCTGTCATTTCTACTTCAAGGCCCCTAGAGTTACTTCATTTAGACTTATTTGGACCTACAAATATGGTTAGTTATGGTGGAAAGTCATATGCCTTTGTTGAAGTTGATGACTACTCTGGGTTTACCTGGGTATTGTTTCTTAGTAAGAAGGATGAAGCTTTTGAAAATTTTAGAACTCTGGTCAAACGAATTGAGAATGAAAAATTGGCTAGGGTGTGTAGCATTCGAAGTGACCATGGAGGGGAATTCTGCTCTGATTCATTTGAACAGTATTGCAATGAACTAGGTATCTCTCATAATTTTTCTGCTCCGAGAACACCACAACAGAATGGTGTTGTGGAGAGGCAAAATAGAACTCTGATAGACATTGCACGTACTATGCTGCATGACTATGGGATCCCTAAGCATTTCTGGGCAGAGGCTATTAACACAGCCTGCTATATTGTAAATCGAGCTTTAATTAGAACAGGTGTTAACAAAACTCCCTATGAAATCTGGAAGGGAAGAAAACCTAACTTAGGTTATTTTCATGCCTTCGGCTGTAAATGTTTTGTTTTGAACACGAAAGATCACCTGGGAAAATTTGATTCAAAATCTGATGAATCTGTGTTCTTAGGATACTCTAACACTAGCAAGGTTTATCGTGTGTTCAATAAACGGACCCTCAAAGTTGAGGAGTCCGTCAATGTAATTTTTGATGAATCTGTTGCTGTAAGAACAGATAGCTATGATGATGATGATTTTGGACTTGGAAGGCAGCAGTCAGCAAACAAAGAAGATGGTGTTAAGCCTGCTCAACAGGTAGAGGAAGAAACCAATAATCCGGAAGATATCCAGTTGCAATCAGAAGAAAGGACCAAAGCAGCTGACTCAGATAGTCATCCCCCAACTTACATTGTGAGACGTCATCCCCCTGAACAAATCATAGGAAGCATCAATCAAGGTATGATTACTCGATCAAAGACCTTACCATCTACTGTTGCTTATGTGTCTTTAGTTGAACCAAAAAATGTGCACGAAGCTCTTCAAGATGAGTTCTCGACTGCTTCTATGTTTGATGAAATGCACCAGTTTGAGCGTGCCAATGTGTGAGAACTTGTTCCTAAACCTGAGAATCGAGTAATAATAGGTACCAAGTGGATATACAAAAACAAATCTGATGAAGTAGGAACTGTGGTTAGAAACAAATCTAGATTAGTTGCTCAAGGGTATTGCCAGGAGGAAGGGATAGATTATGAAGAAACTTTTGCTCCTGTAGCTCGTCTAGAAGCTATTCGTTTATTATGTGCTTTTGCTAGTTCAAAACGTTTTAAGTTATATCAAATGGATGTTAAGAGTGCTTTTCTCAATAGGGAGTTGAACGAAGAAGTTTTTGTGTCTCAACCTTCAGGTTTCGAAGATCATAGATTCCCTAATCATGTTTATAAATTAAAAAAGGCTTTGTATGGTCTAAAACAAGCTCCAAGAGCTTGGTATGACAAACTTAGTTCTTTTTTGTTAGAAAATGATTTTAGGAGAGGACTGGTAGATAAAACCTTGTTCATTAAACAACTAAACAATCATATCCTTCTGGTTCAGGTATATGTTGATGATATCATTTTTGGGGCTACATGTGAAAGTATGTGTAGGGTTTTTGAGTCAAAAATGAAGGAAGCCTTTGAGATGAGTTCAATGGGGGAACTCAACTATTTTCTAGGGCTACAAATTAAACAGACTCCTCACGGCATTTTTATCAATCAGTCAAAATATCTGGTCAACATGCTCAAACGTTTTGATCTAGGAAATCTTAAATCAACTCTCACTCCCATGGCCTCCTCTATAAAAATAGATAAAGATAAATCTGGTATTCCCATTAATGATAAGCTGTACAGAGGGATGATATGGTCCCTGCTGTATCTAACGGCAAGTCGCCCTGATATCATGTTCAGTGTGTGTGTTTGTGCTCGATTCCAGAGCTCTCCTAAGGAGAGTCACTTAACTGCAGTCAAAAGGATCTTTCGCTATCTCTGTGGCACCTCAAACCTGGGTCTATGGTATCCCAGTGATTCCTCTTTAGAATTGATAAGTTACTCAGATTCAGATTATGCTGGTTGTACAATCGATAGGAAGAGTTCTTCTGGCACTTGCCATTTCCTAGGATCCTCTCTGGTTTCTTGGTTTAGCAAGAAACAAAACTCTGTTGCATTGTCCACAGCAGAAGCAGAGTATATTGCAGCAGGAAGCTGCTGTACTCAGCTTCTGTGGATGAAGCACCAACTCCAAGACTATGGTCTTCACTTAAAAACTCTCCCTGTTCTTTGCGATAATACTAGTGCCATCAACATGACCAAAAATCCCATTTTACACTCTCGAACCAAGCACATAGAAATCAGATATCACTTCATTAGAGATTTGGTCGAAGAAGGTAGTATTTCCTTGGAATTTGTTCCCACTTCCAGTCAATGGGCTGATATCTTCACAAAGCCTTTGGGCTCTAATCAGTTTCTTTCGAATCGTCGTGAGCTAGGTATGTTTTCCTAGTCAGAACTTGAGAATCTGAAGTGATTCTGTCTTTAAGTGAGTAACCATCTGTAGAGTCGACTTTTCCTATTCTTTAGTTCCAAGACTTACCCACTTTCTATCAATCCTTAGGGTCAGAAAATATTCTCTTTCTCCTCTTAATTCCATCCTTCCTTTTCTTCCAATCCTCGTATCCTTCTTACCTTAACCCTTTATCTTCCTGCAAGGGTATTTATACTCTCTCAGATCAGTGTGCATTCTCATCGAATTTCTTCACTTCCAATTCAAAAGATCTCTACTTCTTCTAAGTCAGTATGGCAGGAATCAATCCCCATGTCCCCTTGCATCTGGCTCAAGCAGCCATCTTTACTGGAAAGGGATTCAGAAGCGCGGAGGACTATGCTCTCTATCTCATTAAGTTTCAAGATCATCCCTTGTGTCCCTCTATCTCCTTTGATCCAGCCCGCTTCAATCGTTATGACATGAACATCCCTGGGTTGACCAATGTTGTAGGCTGGTCAAATCTTCCGCTGGATCAGTGTTACAGCTTTCGTCCAGAAGCTGTACGCATGTTTTATGTCAACATGCAACCATATTTTAACACTGATCCTCCCACCTTCACCACTGTGGTGTACAACTATCTGCTCACAATCTCGGTTGACATTCTCTCATATCTTCTCGGCTATCCTATTGCTGGTACTGAAGTTTTGGATGAAGGGGACTTCCAGGAAGTGGGTTTCAATGAAGTTGAAGCCATTCGTCTGTATACAAGGGATACAGGTGAATACTATCCTTCTCTGATTGCCACTGGACGTCTCCCTAACGATCTCAAAGTGCTCCACTTCTTCATCACTCGGGTTTTTCTTCCCCGCTCTCATGGACTTAATAGGATTTACCCTATAGACATGTGGATTCTTGCTAGTGCCAAAGAAAATCGCCCTATCAGCTATCCCCATCTCATGTTTAATCATATGCTCCATTACTGCGATGACAATTTCAATGAGGAGCTCCCCTTTGCTCCTCAAATCACTCTGCTGTTGCACGCTCTAGGCATTGATCTTCGCTACAAAGTAGCTAGGGTTGATCTGATTGATACCCTTCGCGCTCAGTTTGTCCTTCGCAAGGTGAATGCCTTTGTTGGTCGTAGGCGTCCTCGAGTCAATGCTTCAGGGGGAGAAGGGGCGGCTGTAGTTCCTGCAGCACCCTTAGCAGCTGATCCTGAAGATGAAGCTGTTCCTGAAGTTGTTCCTGAGGAACCAGTAGCGGCTGAAGATCTTGAAGATGGACTCAGCATTGCTGATCTGGAGGAAGAGCTAGGTGGAGATGAGGGGGAGATCTCTGACTACCTGTCTTCCCCAACTTTCCCTTTCTAAGCTCGCTGGGTTATCATAGGAGTTTTGTGTAGGGGGAGCTTAAGTTTGTTTGGTCTTGTGTTGAGTCGAACCAGAAGTGTTTTGTTTTCAAGAATAAAGCTCTATGTAAGAGCTCTTGCTTGTCTAGGAAGTCTTAGAGTCTACTCACTGAGTCTTTGTCTTGATTGGTAGATGTTATCTTGAAATAAAAGAACTCCTCTTCAGTCTTTCTCGTTTGCTCACAGTATGATTATGTAGTCACAGAAGGAAGAATCACTGACAAGCTGAGGGGGAGAATGTTGGAAGCAGCTTGCCAAATGAGACTGAATTGTGGTTATGTTTCGTGCCGAACAAGAATGAAGGAACGGTCTGAAAAATCACATGAAGGAAAGTTTTCAAGTTCTTACCATAAACCAATCCAGGAACGAAAAGGAAAGAAAGGATAACGACACTATGAGTGTTGAATAAAAGGCTGAAGAGAACAAGAGATCGACACTTTTCTGGAGATCATTCATACCGAGAGAGCTTAGATCATAGCTTGTATGTCTGGTAAGAAAAGCAAGGCTAATTCAACTTCTGGAGAGAATTTGGGTTAGGGTTGTGTTGAGAGAAACACAGGAGCAGGATTGCTAGTAGTATATCAGGGGCTGGGTTAATTCAGTCATCTTTCCAGGATAGGATTGAGTGATTTCGGAGCTGTATATCTCTGTAACAGAAACGACCTACAAGCTTAGTGAATCGTCAGGGATCACATCATCGTGATCATCCGACCGTGGAATAGTCAGAGTTGGGATTCATTTGACCTAGCTCTGGAAACCACGTAAAAATCGACTGTGTCCAGTTGTTCTTTAGTGCGGATAGTTTGTGATTTTACCTTACTCTGTTTCTGCTAGTTTTGCGTTGTTGGGTGTTTATCTGAAACACGGGATCTGATCCTAAGGAACACGAAGAAGGAGGTAAAGGTTCAGTCTTGAAATGCACAGTTTTGGGTAGAGCAACTCGGCGGTACAACACTCTTGGGTCGAAGGAATTAATTGACTGGGCTTGAGGCTTCTGGCTCAGTTACAAAGAAAGTATGATCCAAATTATATTGTTTGTCCTTTTGATTTATTTAATACATTTCACTGGTACCCTTCGTTGTTCGTCACCTGTTCTTGGCCAAAGTCGAATTTGGTTTTCAAGTCAAGAAGAAGAGTGAATCCACAACTCAGTGCAGGCATCTCGCGCTCGAAGCCAGCAACAGACTGATTTTTGGTCCGTAAAATCATCAAACTCTACCATTAAAACAGTGAGTTTGTGTTGGAAGTTGATCAATTGTCTACTGAGAATTCCATGCATGAGAAGTTTGAGAGCAAGTGACTGAGTGTTGGGGAAGAAAGAATTCGGATTTATGCAAGGAAGTGAAGAAGAGCGAACAGCTTATTGTGAAAGTCCTTCCGTGACTGAACATGGTGTTGCTAGTTCGTAGAGACTATCCACCTCAAGGCATTGGTAGATGGGTTCGCTTCAGCAAAAGATTTTCTCCAACTCATTGTCCCTGACTTTGTAAAGCCTGCAATACTAACAAGATAATTACACATTTTGTTACGTGGTGATGGTTATGTACATCCGCAATGGTCAAAGACGTTCCATGTGTGTAAGGAGGTTGAACCTGAATCCTTCATTTGCATCAGCAAGGCTTCATTCCAGGCTAGAATGGCATCAAAACTTTTTGTTTTTTTTTTTGGAAAAATGGCATCAGAACCTAACAACCTGATCATAGCATTAAGACATTTTGATTTTGCATTAGTAAACACTCATTTTCTGTGAGCTTTTCACACAACCATTGTTTAAATAATTTCAGGTATCCATTAAGTTGCAATAGACATGGGAGCTAAAGCAAACCTTTGTCAAACAAAATGCACAAGCCTAGAAATGAATAGTGGCACAGTCTCAAAAAACCAGCTCATCATACATCCATATCCTTTCTTATATGATTTACCTATTAACTATTCTAAGAAAAATGGTACCCAACGTGAGCTACTCTTGCTGCTCAGTAGCATCCCCAGAAAGTTGCTGACTTTGCTGGCAGTTGGTTTGGTTCATGTCTACTAATGCTCTTTCTAAGTTTTACTTAGGTAGCAAATTTGTCTTGTTCGGTATCTTCATTATTATTTCCCCCTCTTGAACGTGGTTACGTATAGCTTGTTCATCTCTTATTGATACTACGGGGTGATTCTTCATCCCTTTTCATGGAATAAACATCTTATTCGTCAAAAATCCAAAATGGACACAGGGGCAAGAACATTGTAATGTCACAGCCCAAAAATAGACAAACTGTTTGTCTCATTTAACTGGAAAAACAGAAACTAACAGGACAGTAATCCTGACCTCTCCTTGCTAACTCTTCTTCTACGTCACCGATCTAAGGAGGAACACCCACCAGCACCAACCTCTTCACAACAAGAGAAGATTAATATAAGAGTAAAATCAATCCAAATAGAAGCAGAACAGTGACAGAGGGAAAAGGGATCAACAACAATTTAAAGAAAAATCAACCTCCTCACTCCAAATTATAGCCTTACCCAAAATAAAGAAAAGATCAAGATGAAAGAGGGAAAAGAGATCAACAGCAGAACAGTGATAGAGCGTAGAAATCCCCTGATGCTCTTCAAATCCAGAATATAGAGGAAACAGAAACTGACCAACTCATGGCAGCATGCATGACTTGGAACAACAGACACACCACGGAAGTAGAACGACCCATGGTACTATGGTCGCGGTGCTCATCGCCGGAGGCAGGGATGGTCAGGCCCGCGAGATTCATTGCCTTTGTTTTAAAGAAAAAATGATTGAGGTGTAACCGGAGAATGATTTCAGTGGAGCTGTTTAGTAGACACTGAGATTGAATCAACGACGAAGTCGCCGGAAGTCAGAGTCCGCCGCAAAGACAGGTGAACGACGACGAACAATTTTTTTTGCTTCGCGTTTCTATTTTTGGCGAAAAAAATCAACTCACCATTAAAGTAAAGATAAAATTTTAATGAAATAAAATTACTAACGGAAAGAAGAAATCCGTTTGGTTAAGTGGAGGGTTCGGGCCACTACTGATGGGTCAACGGATTTGGCCTCCAATTTATTCAACCCACCGGCCCAGCTCATGCCACGTTGTTATTTACGTTGGCCAATTAGAATCAGCGACATCGATGCCGCACTTTTATCTGTGGCACCGTAGCATTGGCCCAAAAAAGAATTCGATCCGAGTAGCCCGCCCGATCAAGTCGATTTGTATCTCGAACGCAATTCGAATTGACTAAAAGTCAATAAACCCATTACTCGCCCAAACCGTAATCCAATTGACTCATAACCTAATTAACCCGCGACCTGATTAATCCAGACCCGATTGACCGGCAACATGATTAAACTCATAATCCGAATAATCCGCAATCCGATTGACCTGAACCAGTCTAACCCAACCCCCCGATTGACATGAATAATTACTATATTATATCATATGTATTCTTTCAAAATAATTTGTTTTGTTCTAAATCCAAGTAAAGTCATTTTTCCGTTTCGTAGAGGGACTAAAATCTGAAATTCACTTGAAATTATGTTTTTAATTACAGAAATTAAAATATGAATTTCATTTGAACATTAATTTATTTAACAGAATTACAAAAAAGTGAAATTTCAAATCATGTCAATATTGATAATGAATACTTATCAGGAATTTGCTACGGTGACTTCAAGTCATCATGAATTGGAAAAAATGATCGACCTCTTCACTGATCAGTTCGACCTATTTGGACAAAATGGTCGACATCTTTGTTGGAATGGTTGACCAGATGTACTATTTTAAATTTTGCTATGTTGAACAAATGGTCGACCTCTTCCGCTAAAAGGTCGACCACTTTACTAGAAAACAGTCTACCACTTCCATCAAGTGGCTACCTCTTTCACCAAGCGGTCCACCATTTTCAATAACTGGTCGACCTGATGAACCGTTGCTAGTGATATAATCATAAATAATTAGAGTCCAATAATAATATATATGCTTGCTAGTAAGAGATTTAAAATTAGTACAAAAGCTGCAAGCATAGATGACAAGTTTCTCGAGTGATTGTTATCCCGTAGATTTGGAAAATCTTCTACATATTTATTTCTTATATTTGACTTCTATATTGAGACTTTCATCTTTCCTTCGAATTCTAAGTTTGCTTGTTTTTATCCTATAATTGTCTTGTCATTGATCAACTTTGTTATGAAAATGCTCAAAAAGTATAGTATAATTGTTATACAATTGTGTCATCTTCAATGTTCATATATCTCACATCATCTTGCTTTTGTGGATTTTTATTCCATAAGTGTTAAAAGTGCTTGTTGGTTTTCTTGTCTTGGGCTATAATATGTGTAGGAATTTGGTTGCCTACAGAGGATAGGATGTTGCGTTACACTACAAAACAATTATGTATTGTTGGTCTCATATCGTCCATTATTTGTCTAATGTAAGTATAAGCTAACAGTGTCATCTGCCAACTGTTCGCCAAAAGCAGAGATCATTCGCCAAAAGAGGTATAAACCACTTTACATAATTGGTATCTTATTTTGGCAGGAGGAGACTACCTCCTCCAACAAGAGGGTGTAAGTTGAATGTAAGTGTGTCACAAGTAGACACATTGTTGGAAGCTGTAGACCGGTTGCCTAAAGTGGTACACCACTTGGTGGAAGAGTTAGACCACTTGAAGGTAACTCTGTCATCAGGTCTATCCATTTTCTGGAAGCGGTACACTGTTGATTCAAGTGGTGGACTACTTGGTGGAAGAGGTCGACCATTTTCTCCAAGCTATGGTGACTTGCAAGTCACCATAGACGTACCTTATTAATCGAGTGGTAGAGGTATGGTAGTGGAGCTGGAGATATTTTCTATGCAAGTCACCATAGACGTACCTTATTAATCGAGTGGTAGAGGTATGGTAGTGGAGCTGGAGATATTTTCTTCCTGTATTTTTTTCGATAAGGAATTTTCTTCCCGTATTTAGAAAAGAGAACCCGACAATAAGTTAATAAGGAAATCATTTAATCAAGAAAGACGAATTTACCACTGAGTTTGAAACCAACATGTTCTTTTTGTTTGGAGCCAAAACATAAAAATGG